TTTCTATGAACTTTATTTATTCACTTTTTTTACTCACTTTTTTAAAAACTGTTTAATCTGTTCACTGCACTACGAAAGTATTGTTTCGAAATTATTTTTTTAATCAATTGAATTTTTGTCACTTTTTAAAAAAAGGAGGAGGTTTTCAATTCGTCGGTATATATTTTTGTATGAATGTTAAGCGATAATTATTTAACACGGTGTCCGATTTCAATGTTTCTTTTTTTGTTAAAAAGGGGGTACTTTAGGGGTGGTCCCATATAAATTTGGTTAAGATACGGTGTTGGCATCTGCACGATTTTAAAGTCGGTTTTTTAAAATTACTTTTAATACTTGTTGGAATTGCTATTTTCTCGGCCATAGTTGATATTTTGTTTGATGTAACATTATTTTTCCAATAAATATATTTTTATTTAAAATGTGAAAACATACAAAATTATACCATTAGAAATTATTTATCACAGATAATTTTCACAGTATGAGAAAATTATAAATCGTACAAGTTTTTTTTTTTTTTTTTCGTTGTCAAAAAATTGCATAATTTACGTATTCATATCAACCAACAAATGTAATTTTTTTGCCAGGTGGATAAAACATATTTTTAAATACTTTCTTTTTGCCAATTTTATAAAAATAATTTTTTCCCGAGAACCATTCTCGAGATAATTCCGTTTGGGACCCAATAAATCATCGTCCCGTACAAATAATAATAAAAATTTCAATGTAGACAGCAAAAAACACCTCACTATAAAATAGTTAAAAATTATTACATAATAGGAAAGTCGAATAAAAGTCTAGAAACGCCGAATTTATTTATATTGAATAACACGATAATTATTTTTTTTTTCTACACACACATGGATATTAGCTTATCTACGCACAGATTATAAAAAGAAAAAGTAAGCTATTGCCTTCAACTGAACGAATATATTTCATATCCATTCTAGATAGTGAGAACACTGCAAAAAATGAAATCCACCAATCACCGTTCATATTTTGATCAACCGACTGTTATTATTTTTAAAATTTTAAATAAGTGACAATTCTGTCAAATTGTCAGTATATTTTCTAGTTATTGAGATTAAGCATACATTAAAATGGGTTATTCTTGTGTAGAATATATAAATAATACGAGCCCTAACACAAAAATGTTCGGACATCAACTGATTTTGCGAAAAAGTTTGAAAATTTCCTTAAGGGATTCAATATCATATGTTTTTCATTTATAAGACATAATATGTATTGTTTACATCATATTTATAAAATTGTTTTCAAATAAACTAATATTGAATAAAACTAAACTAATGTTGATAAAAATGCAATATTTGCTGACATATAAATGTTCGGACACGTTAGTAAAACAAATAATAGCAAGCCATGGAAACAAAAAAAAGTGTTTCTATTTTGACATTTTAACTTGAGAATTAATTCGATTATTAATTGGCTCCAAAATGTCGCGTGGTAAAGCAACAAATGGTGCAATTAGAGAATTAATAGTAAAACTGTTTAACCAAGGAAAAACCTTTCGGGATATTGCTAAACAAATAAATGTCGCAAAGTCGACGGTGTCAGATATTGTGAAAAAATATGGAGAAACGGGTTCACCTCAAATTTCAAGACATGGTGCTGGTCGGCCACGCAAAGTCACTTCCCGAATGCAAAGATCTCTTGTTTGGATTTGTAAAACTGATCGCCGAAGTACTGTAAGGGAAATAATAGCAAAATGGAATGAAGAAACAATTGGAAATGTTTCACGAGGAACGTGTCGTCGCTGGATCCATAAGTCTGGTTTATATTTTTATAAGGTACGTAGGTTACGTTTAAGGAAAATCTCATATTTATGCAGTGAAATCATTGGTATAGGCAAAAGAAAAGCCGTTGCTGACGGAAAAACAAAAGAAAAGATGATTAGCGTGGGCAAAGGAACGGGCAATGTGGACTTTTGAAGACTGGAGAAGAATCATTTTGAGCTATGAATCAAAATTTGATATTTGCGTGGGTGACCATCGATCACGTGTTATAAAAAACAAAAATGAAGCCTTTCACAAAGACTGCCTAAAGAGAAAAATAAAATTTCCATCAGGTGTTATGGTATGGGGAAGCATGTCTGGTTTCAGTGTTGGAAAACTGCACTTTATAGACGGAATTGTAAACGCAGATAAATATCAGAACATTCTTGAAACCAATTTGTTAGTGTCAATTCCAATTTTATCACCGGATGGAAACTTTACTTTTCTACAAGATGGCGCCTCCTGCCATACAGCCAAGACCACAAGAAAGTGGCTGCAGGACAACAATATTTCCGTCCTTGACTGGCCCTCCAGCAGCCCTGATCTAAATATAATCGAAACTGTATGGCACAAGATGAAGCAGCAATTAAGAAATGATCCACAGCGCAACATTTCTGATTTGCGGGTAAAATTGCAAAATATATGGGATTCTTTTACCGCGGAAGATTGCGAAAAGCTTGTTAAAACTATGCCTGATAGAATAAAAGCTGTTATTAAGGCAAAGGGAGATGCAACCAGTTATTGATGTGATTTGTCCGAACATTTTTGTGTTAGGGTTCGTAGCATTTCTGTTTTTATTTCGTCTATGATTATAAATAATTTGTTAATTTAAATAATACTATAAGAAGTCAATTTAATTACGAGTATTAAAGCAACAAAAATAAAAGAATAGGTGGTCATGTGGTTAGCGTTCTTGCCTTCCACACTGAAGACTCGAGTTCGATTCTCAAATGGGAAAAAATGAAATTAACTTTGCTTCTTTTTTTTTCGTTTATTTTATTTTACAAATTATTAAAAGTCATAAATTATTCTAAAATTAGGTATTTTGTCTTAATAACCTGACATATTTTTTTTTATTTGTAAATTTTCGTTAGTGGTCGTAGAAAAAGTATACTGTACAACTCGAGTGGATTGTCCACATCGCACTCATATCCACTCTTGTTGCACAAACTACTATTATAACGGTACTTCAAACTTCACCCTTCGACAGAGGTGACTTAAAAAGTAAGTTTTACCTCGTTTCAATGGGCTTGAAAAAATAAAATTTCCAAACAAACATACTAATAAATTCACAACTTTTTCCATTCACGATTCAAATTAATTTTCGTGTACCTGTCATTTGACACCTATAAGTAGGATATTTGTTTATTTACAGTGTTTGTTTTGTGCGGGATTTTGTATTGTAATTCAGTGATGTGAAGTTAGATATGGAGAGAAAAGAGTTAACGTAGTCCATATCCCGAACTCAATATTGTTTATTTACATTGCGTTTGTTTTGGGCGGGATTTCGTATTTATGATGTTTTAACTGTTTTTAGATAATATCATTATAATAGTATTTTTGAGTTTCATTTAGTGTTAAGTTTCCGTCACAAATATAATATTTATCATGTGTTTATGACTAATTTGTTGGAAATCTTTGCCTATCTGGATGCTACACAAACATCTAGAAATATTTGTTTACTTAACACAGGTCATGTTTAAAGATAATGTCAGGTACCTAACGTTTATTATTAATAAACTTTGAAAATCTTGCTATCCTTATTCTTATATTATAAAGTGAATGGTGTAGTACTTTGTATACATGTAAACGGTAATAAAACTGTCACAATGCAGAATGCAGTTTGATTCTAGACAAAATTCTGCCAAATCTCAATAAGTAATATGAATTTGCAGATATTCATTTATCCTAAAAAACAAAATGTTACGACTTTAACGCTTGGAAAATACTAAAAACTTCAGTTTTGATTTTGACATTAACACCATATATTGCAATTTGCTGGGGATTTTTTCGTAAATTTAATTTTTAATATAATGATTTTAAAACAAAATTGATAAATTAACTAAAATTAAAATTTAAAAAAATCAATACATTATTAAATCGGTTTTATAAAAATCAGTAAATAAATATAGAGTATATATAAATTTTGATACTTAAAAAAAGATCTTTCCTTTTTTTCAAGGGCTAAAAATACGACGACGTAGCGAAATTCTGCTACTCCTGGCAACACTGAACAAAGTCCTACTTATAGACACCTTTCACAAATTTCCTTCAGAGCTTGAATCGCGAATATTTATATTACTTATTATTAAAATCTAAAACAATAGCTATTGTTTAAACTTCACTAACATTGTCAAGTTGCGGTTTGTTTAGTTTCCTTTTTTAAGCCTTCTGAAATTAGGTACAACACGACGGATCATCCATTTAAAAAATTGGTAGCTAATTTAAATTCACACTATTATGATTTTGCAAACTACTGGAAATACAAAGACAGGGAAAACAGTTGCCAAATTATAAGACCACCTTACTGATGTTTTGATATTCAGGAGCGGTTTCCAAGTTATTTGAGGAAAACTGAATAGGCCGTTTTTATTTTTTGGCTGTGGTGTGGTACTTTTATTTTCTAAAGTTTTTTTTATATAAAATATAGAACTTAGAACTGTGGGTAAGTTCTATCGAGATTGGTACTTTTAAATAAGGACCTGTATTTGTATGAATTTTTTGAAAGTACATAGATACTCCTAATTCCTACATTTTTAAAAGTTCCGATAGTATAAAATTGTCGAGAAAATTTAGAGTAGCTTTTTATTTATATTTTATTTGTAAAAATCAATAAGAACAAATAAAATAATAGAAAGAATTTACTTTTAATAGTCTTAGTTGAATTCAATAATTTTTTTTGATATTTTTTAAAATAAAGGAACCATTGCTAAAAATTTTCTCAAACTTCTTGGAAACCTGACCTGCTACCTTGAATTTTAAAACTCAGTTGGTTTCATAATTTAGAAACTTTTTTTATTTCCAGTTGTTAACGAAATTACAATATTCAAATTGTATAGACCCTACAGTAAGTAGACCACGCTCTGAATGTATTAAAACATTCTTTTTTTAAGGTTTCAGTAAGTTTAAAACATTAATTGAACTCAATAATCATTATGTCTTCTTTATACTGTGCTCCTTTTACTTTACCTGAATTTCTTTTATTTTCAGATTAATGATGTCAGCTCCACAACTTGGTAACGGAGCATGGGAATTAAGCAAAGTTTTTATGGATAAATTGTCCTATCTACTTAATAAAATAAATAGAAAGAGACAGCAACTCAGCGCCAAAATCACCTGCCAGTTAGCCATTACCGAATATGGAAAAAGTAAGTAATGATTTACAGGCTGGGGGGTTCAAGGGGGTGCCAAATTCGTATGTAAAAAAAATACGTGTGGCACTCGGGGACTGCCGCGGTAAAGCTATTGCATAGCATTTTTTATCAACTTATGCAATTATAATTATTTATTTATTTTATTTATGCAGTATTTTTTTTCTTTGATATTAATTCAAGTTTTTTTTTTATATTAATTCAAGTTACACTTTTTGAGGTGGTCACCGATAAGAAAACAATTTTTTTTCTTTCATTGAATAAATGAGAAGTTAATATTGTTTAAAATATTTTTATTATCTTACAATACATGTAGGTTATTCAGGAATTTTTATCATTGAAACTATAGGTTTATGGTAACTGAAATAAGAAATATAAGTTTGAGACTTGATACCCTCTAAATATCTGGAAAATATCGCGTCAATGGTGGTCCCATATTTTGTTGCGGATTCTTGTGGATCATTATTTATTTTCAAATTTAATTTTTCCGAAATTGTTTTTAAAAGAAATAGAATCAGTTATCGGCAGTTAGCAGCTAGTGTACACGCATACGTCTAGTCGCACGCACACAAACACCATGCCGAAGTCTGCCGAACTGAAACGACGTTAGACGATGCACGGCTTTCAACACCGCACCGCTGTGCCGGTTGGAGTGGGGGGTGTTAGGTTTATTTTCGTTACGGAATTTCTTGATTTGGTCGCCATGCTCAAAGCCCGCGATAAAAGCTATGCAATAGCTTAATATTTTATTAGATGCATTCCGAAAGGCACTGTGTGCAATGCAGCATAGCAGGAAAACTAAAATTTTAAAACGTTTCTAAAAATCATACACTGACTATCGCTGTTTAGACACAAAATTTTAGAAGTTTATTGTTGTAACAAATGTATATGATATTTATATAAATTATTAAATTTTAAACTTTTGATTTCTGCGCAATAGATACGTAGTACCTCAACTGCTGCGTCGCATATCGAAATGCGCCCATTAATGGATAGTTCGGATTAAAGGCACTGAAAGGCACTAAAGCAGGAACATACACATAAATTAGAAAGGCTTTTGATACGTGGAGAGATGGTCAAACCCCGTCGAACGACTTCGAGAACTGCGCGGTAATGTTTATCTGCCAGTGTCGTATCATAGAATAAGTAATTTTAAATTGTTACCGGCGAAACCAGGCAAATATACTTATATATTTATAGGTTAGAAATAATTATTTAACCAAGTATTATAATAGCCCAAATCACAAATCTACAAAATTTCCACAGCTATTCACCTTTTATTAAACTATTTATATGCATTACACGAAATTGTTATTAGCATCTAAAAAATAATTTTCTACGCCCTTGCATCGCGTTCACTTCGGTTAGCTTCGCGGTAAAACTCTCAATTCCTGTGTATAATAAAGTGGGAGAACTGCGACTGCGAAAAGCGTTTTCCACTTCTGTCCCTTCTATACCGCCCCAGAGCAATATCCATATGAATTTTGCTTTTAAAATAAAATTTATTGTTTAGAAAAATGTTTAGAAAAAAGAAATGGAAATATATCCATATTCTCTTTTATTTTTTGATCAATACAGTAAATCAATAAACATTCTTAAGTTTAACTAAAAATATGAGAATAATAGTTTTAAAACAAATAAATTATAATAAAAAGATATTTTAAAAAATTCTCTAAATCTTAGCGCTTATTCAGCGTCATCACATCCAGAAAAAGTTATAGTCTATACGCAATATTATTGTGACGTAATTTTGATTCCACTGACACTTTTAACCTTAACAAAAAAATCATTGAATTTGACCTACTTATACGTTTTTACTGTTTTTAGGTTTTTTTTCAAAAAATTGTTTAAAGTTTAGAAATCTATTTATAAAAGTTCAAAAGCTATATAATTTAGGTAAACAAAACAAACAAAATACATAAATACAAAAATAATAAACAAGTCTATTGTGACTGTAATATTTAGTGGAGCCAAAATTATATCTTCACTAATTTAGAGCTTTTGCGGTGTCTATTTGTAGTTAGTCTTTTTGCAGTTAGGGTAAAGCTGTAGTAAAATTAGAAGGTAAAATTTTCTGACACCTAAGGATTAGGTAAAGGTGTGCCTGGTTATTGCATTGTCTACACTTATTGTATATTCTTCTAAAATGTGTACATAAAGTATGGAATAAATTCATTTTATGCTAAACAAACAATTTCGAACAAAAATCCTGAGACAGATCGATTTTTAATTTAAATTTAATGTATTTTTACATAATAATGAAATATACAGGGTAAACCATTTGCGAGTAACAATGATAATAATAATATAATAATAATACTCTCCCTAATTCACCCACTTACGAGTGAATTTTAACCCCAAAAGCTGAGCTTTTTTTTGTGTCATCGGCATCAACTGATACGGTTATCAGCCTCGTGTTATGTGCAGGCTTTGTTACTGTTTCCCAGCGCCACTTTAGGAACAGCACTGTTAATTAGTACCCAACAGTGAATGGCCGAGTGGGGAATCCTACCAAGGCATCAGAATTAATTTTAAATAATTAAATTAAATGAAAAAATCCCAGCCAACGGTGGGATTCGAACCTGTGACCCTTGGATCTGCAGGCAGACACTCTACCACTGAGCCACCCACCCCGTTAACGGCTATTATTATTATTATTTGCCGTAACGCTCCGGGGCGACTTAAAAATGATTGATGACTTACAGGTGAGGAAAACCAGGAAAACTCCACCCACCATCATAAAATCCACTCACCATTGATGATTGTTTTATATGGCACTCCCCGTATATTTTATTTGTTTTAGATTGTAAATCTCAAGACGATTCCAAAAATATATCATACTTGTGTCCGGTAAATTATTACTGGCATACCTTTGAGTATGATTATTGTAAAATTTTGTCAGATGTAAAACGTTGTGGCAATAACTCAGTAGACTACACTTTAATACGAAGTAATGACATTGACACTTGTGAAGTGTAGTACCAGTTTAGAAATGCGTTTATTTATAAAACAAAGGATTGAAGTTCTTATGTTAATTGGTCGTATCTTCAAAACTATTAAGTATGATATATTGTTAGAATCGTCTTGAAAGTTACTATCTAAAAAAAATATAGAGAGAGTACCATTTAAAAAAATTGTCGACGACATCGTTACTCACAAATGGTTTACCCTGTATATTTCATTGTTATTTAAAAATAGATTAAATTTAAATCAAAAATCGACCTGTCTCGGGATTTTTCCTCAAAATTGTTTATTTAGAATAAAATACTTTATGTACACAGTATATTTATGTCATATAGGGTAGCGAAAAAGTCTGACACAAAGGTATTTTATTTGAAACGAATGAATATATAATTATGAAATTGTAGGATGATGTATTGCATTATTATGTTTTTTCTGATACTATACATACAGGGTAGCGAAAAAGTCTAGTAACAAGGTATTTTAGGATGATGAATGGAATTGTATTACATTAGTAATGTGGTACTTTTTTAGTATTCTTTTAAAAGAGAAAAAACTAAGCTTGTCTCTGATATATCACTCGATCTACATTTTCATTTAAAAAAATTCAAGACGGTGGCGGTACGCTAAAAGCTGACGTCATATAAATTTGACATGTCCTCTAAAAAAATTCAGATTACAGTCTCATTCATTTTTTCTTTCCTTGTTGCCAGACTTTTTCGATACCCTATATGTATAATGAAAAGTTATTAGCAAATAGGTAATGCAGAATGCACATTTATTTAATGGCTTTTATTATCTCAGTCATGAAAATTTCCGCTTAGTATATTTGTTTCGTGAGTTTTTGAAATCTTTAAACTCAAATGATGTAGTCAAGTGGCGTCAAAGTCGTAGATCCGAGACTGATGATTTATGACTTATATTTTTACATGATTGTCATCAGCATAATAATCGTGGTTTTGTTTTCATTTTGTTCTTTATTTCATAACAAAAACAAATTTTTACCAAAGAAATGTTTTAAAATTGATAGTGAAATTTCTTCTACCTATAATATTGCATCATTTCTTGTTTGTTTAAAAAAATATATATTTATAAACATAAGGGATCTATCATCCCTAATAAAAATGTCTAAACTGCTTTTTCAATGGTTTATTTCACGATCAAGTATTCTCAATTACAATGTTGCTGTGGTATTGCCACTGTCTATTAGCGTACTAACTACTGCGCTAGTCTGTCTTCTCCCGCTCGTCCATCCTGACACGCATGTGTATGGACTTCAAGAATGTATGGTGGGGAGTATAGAGAAATACCGCTAACACGGCCATCCTGCAATTGGAGCGTCCTCGCGCCACATATATCTGGAATTACAAAATACGAAAACAGAACTACTGTTACGACTTATGAACATTATCACTAATGTTCTTTTTAGACGCTAAATGATTAATTACTCTTTCAATTAATGTTGGTGAAACTGCTACGATTACAGTAAACATAGTGGGATCGTCACTAGTAATTCTTTCAATCAACGTTGGTGGAATGGCCACCATTACCATAAACATTAGTGGAATTGCCACTTAATACTCTTTCAATAAATGTTGGTGGGATTGTCACCATTACAATACACATTAGTGGGATTGCCACTAATTATTCTTTCAATTAAAGTTGGTGGGATTGCCACTAACTACCTTTTCAATTAACCTTGGTGGGATTGCCACTAACTACCTTTATTTTTATTTATTGTTGGTGAGATTGCCACCCTAACACTAAACGCCTAGTGTTATAAAACTAAACTCTAGTATTACTTTATTATCATAATTTATTCAGGAACATTTGGTAGAATTGCCACCCTAACACTAAACGCTAGTGCTACATCACTAAACCCTAGTGTTAATTTATTATCATGATTTATTCTGGAACATCTAGTGGGATTGCCACCCTAACACTAAACACTAGTGCTACAACACTAAACCCTAGTATTAATTTATTAACATGATTTATTCTGGAACATCTGGTGGGATTGCCACCGTAACACTAAA